CTGCAACGTCGGAGTCGGAACGGGCATCCCTGCCACCCCCCGCCCTCCCCCTTCCCACACGTTGGCCGAATGGACGCTGCAAAGAGGTAAGTCAGTCGCACGGACAGACAGGGCTTATTCTGCGACACCATGTTGCTTCGTGCGGTGCGAAACTCGTGTACAAACAAGGTTTTGGGGGGCGGGGGGGAAGGTGAATGGCGCTGCTAATGTAAATCTGTGCTGATTATTCGGCGTTGGGCTGAGCTGGATGGCGCTTGCCGGTGCCTCAGCTACGGTTACCCTTCGGTCATGGCTCTTGTTTTGCCCCTTGCAGCCAGCCGGGCGCAGCTGGTCTGAGTTAACACCTGTCTCTCTACCTGTAAGCGGTGAAGCCCTGGCGGAATGTGTAGCCGCCTCTGCCCTTGCTTTGCAAGGATTCCATGAAATTAAAAGGGGCTAGGACTGGCCCGGTTCCCGAGTGGTTCTGGAGCACAGGTTCGGCACTTGGGAGTCACTCACCCGAGTGCATCTCCGGGAAAAATCACAAGCTCTTATCTCCAAGGGAAACGGACTTGTCTGGTCTCTCCTCTGGGAGATTAAGGTAGGCCCGGAGAAGTGAATTTTTTAAGTTACGGACGTGGCTGTGTATGTGTAGCAGCAAGAGCCTGCCATAACCAGGACTGGAACCAGGCTGGTCTGGCTCCGAGTGCTGAGTCAGGTCTGCGGGCCGGAGTTCACATCCTTTGAGATTTACAATCGCCTTCTCCACGGTTTTGCACAAAGACCTTTGCGCTGGGATCGCATCTGGGTCTTGTTTATCTAAGTGGGCTGTAAATTTAAGCGAGTATTTAGACTTTTCACTGTTTTCTTATGCAACAAAAGTTTGACACTTTGCGGTTGCTCAAAAGTCAACTTCATTAACTTCCTGATGTTGAGATAGTTGGAGTGTTTTAGGGAGTGTGCACTATGATAAATACATTTTGCAGTTAAAGAACTGAAAATCAGTTTAGCAAAGAAATTTAACCATGTTCATGGTATAGATAAACATAAAAATTCTAAACTTCATTTCCCCAGCATACCGTGCACGCTGCCCTTCCTTCGGTTGCCAAGTTCAGACCCTGTTCACACCATCCTGGTGTGTAGGATGAAACTAAAAGGGAAGCTTTCAATCTATCAAGTCAGGGTTTCATTACATTTCTTTTTCCTGTGTTTGGGCCTGTAGGTATTTTTTTAAAGTCTGAGACTCTGAATAATGTTCTTAAAATTTCTCAAAATATTTCAGTACAGCCCTAACCGGTTTGGCTCAGTGGATAGAGCGTCAGCCTGCGGACGGAAGGGTCCCAGGTTCTATTCCGGTCAAGGGCATGTACCTTGGTTGCCGGCACATCCCCAGTAGAGAGTGTGCAGGAGGCAGCTGATGGATGTTTCTCTCTCATTGATGTTTCTAACTCTCTATCCCTCTCCCTTCCTCTGTAAAAAATCAATAAAAATATTTTAAAAATTAAAAAAAATAGTTCAGTACAGTGGTTAATAAATGACATGCTAACTTCTGTTAGCCACTGTTTTCTGCTTAATAACAGTCCTGTTATTACTGAGAGCCATTACAAACTGGATGAAATAACTTTAATTTGCAAAATTTTAGAAAGTAATGCTAATACCATTTCAGTAAGAATTAATGAACATGGACAAATTATTGTTCAGGTGCACAAATAACTTGGTCTGTATTATCAAGGGACATAATACTGTTAAATAGCTTGTAGGTAGCAACTTTAGAATTTAAAATATGTTGTGTTCAGTGTGTACAAGTGAAATTGTTTTCATTCATAAATTGTCACAGTGTATTGTGCAATTATATGTACAGTAGAGACCCAGTGGGGGACTCAATCCCTCAGCTCGTTCTGCGACCTCTCGCAGTCCGGGACCCCTTGGGGGTTGTCCACCTACTGGCATAGGCCCGATCCCTGGGCCTAAGCAGGCAGTCACTCATCCTTTCGCAATCTGGGGCTCTCACAGTCCGGGACCCCTTGCTCTCCTTACCGCCCACCTCCAGCGGAGGCGGGAGAGGCTCCCACCACTGTGCTTGCCAGCCATGAGCCCTGGCTGAGTGGTGCTCCTCCTGTGAGCATCGCCTGTGTTGAGCATCTGCCCCCTGGTGGTCAGTGCGCATCATAACGATCAGTTCTGCTGGTCATTCTGTTCGGTCAATTTACATATTAGGGTTTTATTATATTTTTGAATATTTAGAATATTTTTGTTGATTATAATGTTTAGTTCTGAAACTGAAGAAAAAGCATTACATAGATGTGAAGCATTTCTTTGCTAAGTTTTAGTATAGTACTAATGAGTTTATTTTTAAACTTATGTCAGTTAGCTGAAACAGTAAGAAGTAAGGATACTGAAGATTAAGTAATCAATAATTATCAAACCCTAAACTCGGCAAGCTTCTTGAGTATCTATAATTTTTTTTTAAAACCCAAAATGTCATTGGCTTCTTTAATTGGTTAAGAACACAAAATGTAACAGGCAGGCACAATTCACCATAGCTAAGATCTGGAAACAGCCTAAGTGCCCATCAGTAGATGAATGGCTTAGAAAACTGTGGTACATCTACACGATGGAATACTATGCTGCTCTAAAAAGGAAGGAACTCTTACCATTTGCAACGGCATGGATGGAACTGGAGAGCATTATG